CAAGACCCAGCTGGGTGCAAAAGCGCTGATGGTCACAAGGCGCGAGTGCCTTGGTGAACACATCAGCAGTGTTGGCCTCAGAGGCCACGTACGCAAGTCGCAACTGACCACGCTGCTGCAGCTCACGAGCAAGAAAGTAGCGGAGAGCAATGTGCTTCGTTCTGTGCTCCAAGCGCTGCTCTCGACACAAGGCCAGCATGGCCTTGTTGTCTACGTACAGCACTGGAGGAGAACGAGGCGGCTCTCCAAGGTCAGTCAGCAGGTAGGTGAGCCAGCGAAGCTCCTGTGCAGCCATGGCCCCGGCGTAGATCTCAGCCTCACAACTGGAGCCGAGAACCGAAGACGAGCGAGTAGACCGCCACGAGACAGAGCCGGAACCAAGGCTGAAGGTGTAACCCTGTGACGACCGCTGCGTAGTCTGGTCGTCAGCCCAAGAAGCGTCCGCGTGGCCGGTAAGGACCACTGGACTCCGCCCTCCAAGCACAAGCCCCATGCCCGACGTACTGCACAGGTAGCGCAATACCCTCTTCGCTGCAGCCATGTGCTCTGGTCTGTGTCTCCCAGGAGCAACATAGCGTGCAAGAATGCTCAGAGGATATGCAAGGTCAGGTCGTGTGCAGGTCATCAGGTACATGAGGCAGCCAACAAGCTCTGCATACGGACCACTCGACTCTACGGACTCATCCGAAGGCAGAGCTGAGAGTGAGTGGCGAGTAGGCAGAGGAGTGGCCTGAGGCGAGGAGTACGTGAAGCCGAAGCGCTGAAGGACCTGCTGCACCATGTGTGACTGAGTCAAGGTAATGGTGCGGCGTGCTCTGTCCCGAGTGATCTGCAAGCCAAGGTAGCTGCGCAGTTCACCCAGGTCTGTGCACGTGTGTCTCTTCAGCAGTTCGGACTTCACGTAGGCGAGTCCAGCAGTGTCCGCTGTGGCAAAGACCAAGTCGTCGACGTACACGAGGATGTAGAACGGCGGCAGTGAAGTGTCGGTGCGCAGAAACAGCGACGGGTCAGCAGTAGAAGGAGCAAACCCAAGAGCCGCAAGCGTAGTCCTCAGTGTGTCGTGCCACTCACGCGGTGCCTGGCGGAGACCGTAGACTGGCCGTCGGAGGCTCCACTGGGTGCCAGGAGGGAAAGTCCCAGTGAAGCCAGGTGGACGGCGCAGCCAGATCTCCTCGTGCAGGCTACCCTGCAGGAACGCAGTGCTGAAGTCGAGAGAGTGAAGCTCGTAGTCGCGCTGAGCGGCTATGTGCAGCAGCACCCGAAGAGTGGTCATCTTCGGGGTGGGAGAGAAGGTCTGAAAGTAGTCAACTCCCTGCCGCTGACTGAAGCCACGAGCAACGTACCGCGCCTTGAAGACAGGTGGAGAGCCCGGCGGCCGCTTCACCCGGAAGATCCACATGCCACTGACGATGTTCGCCCCAGGAGGGGGAACTGCGTCAACGTAGGTGCCTGTGGACTTCCAGGAAGCCATCTCTGCATCCATAGCTGCCTGCCACTGAGAGGAGTAGGGACCCTCTACGGCCTCCGCGTAAGAACGCGGAGTCGGGATGTCTAGTGCATCCGGGTCTCCCTCAGGGGCAAGCAGTACAGACGCGAGATGAGGTGAAGCAGCCGCTAGACACTGTAACTCCTCCTGTCTGTCCTCTAGGACGTCCGTGCCAAGAGCACACTCACCCCCGACGGACGGAGGACAGACAGACGCAGACTCAGCAACAAGACCAGCAGCGTAGTCGAGACGACAGCGAGCAGCAAAGTCAACGAGCTCAGCGACTAGAGCAGACGCAGCAGTGGACTCAAAGGAGGGGTCAGTGACGACAGTAGCAAGCAGACGCGTGACAGTAGGACTGGCAGCGCGAAGAGAGTCCGACTCAGGGTCGGCAAGCGCAGGAAGAGAGGACTCAGGAGGCGAAGGCAAAGGGGCACGCAGAGGAGCAGTGGACGGACGCAGAGACATCCGGTGCGTGCCAGGGACAGGAGGAGGACGCTGACGCGAACCGCGACCACTAGCGCGAGCAGCACGAACAGGCGACGCGGGACGAGACGCAGGCTCACGACGCTCAGCAAGACCTCCAGTAGGACCAGTGTAAGGAGAGGGAGCAGGCAGAGGAGAGGAAGGCTCCAACAGTGACTGCGACTGGACAGGGTGTGGACACTCTACCGAAGGAGAAAGACCAAGAACCTGCTGTAGGAGCGGAACGAAGTACGGCCGAGGCCGCGCGGCAGCTCCAGACTCAGCAGGGACAGCACCAGCACCCTCAGCGACAGCACCAGCGCCACCCACACCTCCAGCGGCAGGACCAACAGCAGTAGGCTCAGCACCAACGCCCTCAGTACCTCCAGCTCCAGGAGGACCCGCAGGTCCAGCAGCTCCGGGACCGGCAGCACCCGCACCCTCGACGGTCGAAGAAGCTCCAGCACCAGCTCCAGCAGCACCTCCAGACTCAGCAGCACGCCTCCAGCGGCGAGCGTACCACTCGCGCAGCTCCTGTGGAGAGAGGGGCTCCCGGCGAGACGCAGCAGCAGGAGAAACCCCAGGCTCAGCAGCTCCAGACGCAGCAGGGACAGCACCAGCGCCCTCAGAGACAGCACCAGCGCCACCCACACCTCCAGTGGCAGGACCAACAGCAGCAGGCTCAGCACCAACGCCCTCAGCAGCTCCAGCTCCAGGAGGACCCGCAGGTCCAGTAGCTCCGGGACCGGCAGCACCCGCACCCTCGACGGTCGAAGAAGCTCCAGCTCCAGCTCCAGCAGCACCTCCAGACTCAGCAGCACGCCTCCAGCGGCGAGCGAACCACTCGCGCAGCTCCTGTGGAGAGAGGGGCTCCCGGCGAGACGCAGCAGCAGGAGAAACCCCAGGCTCAGCAGCTCTAGACGCAGCACCCCCAGGCTCCGCACTCTCCGCAGTAGCACCCGCAGGCCCAGTACCCCCAGTAGTAGCACCCCCAGGCTCAGCACCCCCGCGCACAGCACCCCCAGAGTCAGCACCCCCAGGCTCAGCACCCCCGCGCACAGCACCCCCAGAGTCTGCACCCCCAGGCTCAGCACCCCCGCGCACAGCACCCCCAGAGTCAGCACCCCCAGGCTCAGCACCCGCAGCAGCACCAGAGTCACCTGTAACCTCGACCGGGTCAACGGCGTCTACCTGGGACACACCTCAGGGGGCAGGAACCTGAGGGGGGAGGGGGTCTACCGGGGGGGGAACCGGTACAAGGAAGTCCGGGGGAGGGGGGAGGGAAGGAGTGCGGTAGGGGAAGAGACGGTAGAAGGGGACTGACTCGTCGAACGTGACGTCCTGGGAGGACAGAACACGACGAGAGGAGGGGTGGTAAAACTGCCACCCTGAGGCGTCAGTGGGGAAGCCAAGGAAGACACAGGGAGCAGCACGAGGGGACAGCTTGTCCGCAGACAAGTCGCGGACAAACGCCCGAGATCCCCAGACACGGAACACAGACGCATCGCCAACCTTCCCTGTCCACAGCAAGGCTGGGGACATCGCAGGCCGAGAGACCCGGGGGTGAAGGTTGAGCTGATGCGCCGCGTACCTCACCGCAAACGGCCACAGAAAATGGGGGGCAGCCGCATGCATCATGGACGTACGAGCGACATCCATGACCATGCCAATGCGGCGCTCAGCAATCCCATTTTGCTGTGGTGAGTCCGGAAGCGTGAAGGACTAGCGGATGCCTCGCGCACGACAGTAGGCACGCAGAAGGCCAGAGGAGAACTCTCCGCCTCTGTCTGAGTGCAGACGCAGAACAGAAAAGTCCGAGCCGAAGCTCTTCCTGAGCCGGAGACGAGCCTCGCGGATCCAGTCGATTAGCACCTCAGTGACCTCACCCTTGCTGCGCAAGGGGAGGACTGTGGTGTAACGCGAGTAGTCGTCAACCACCAACAGGAAGTAGCGCTCGTAATCCTGCCCACGGACGGGGGCTGGGCCCCACACATCCATGTGAAGCGTCTGCAGGGGAGCCTCTGTCGGGGGGAAGTGGGAGGAGTGAGGAGTAGCCCGGAGGCGACCCTCGACACAGGGGACACAGGGAGGTCCTGGCCCGGAGGGGAGAGGAGGGAGAGACTGGGGAAGACCAGAGACAAGGACACGGGAAGCCATGCTCCGAAGACGGGGCAAGGAGGGGTGGCCAAGACGGTGGTGCCACAGGAGAGTCTCGTGAGACAGGAGGCGACAAGTACAGGGGGCAGACTCAGGACCAGACCTGGACGCAGCAGCAAACACCTGACCCTGACGCTGCTACCTGACCGGACGCGGGGACAGGAGGAGACTCAGTGGTCAGGGTGTAGAGGCTCGACCCCGGCCGACGCGAGAACGTGGCCAGGTGCCGGCCTGTGCGTGCGTCCGTGCAGTGGGTCACCCGCTGACTCGCAGGAGTGAACTGGTGAACCCCCGCATCCTGTAGGTCTGCACCACTCACCAAGTTCGTCGAGAACGAGGGGAGGTACAGGCCAGACAGGGTGCCCGAGGGGGCAGCCGGACACGGGAGGACAGTGGAGAAGTGAGCGAGGACAGGACCCCCAGAGGGGTCAGCCAGGGAGACTGCAACCGGACGACCAAGCGGCGTGAGTGTGGTGCGGTCCCGAAAGAAGGAGCGAGAAGCCCCAGAGTCAAGTGTAAAGGTGAGGGAGGCCGAAGCCAACGCGGTACCTGAGAGCGCAGCCTCACCCGCACCTGAGGAAGCAGACTCACTAGCACCTAGAGCAGCAGCCGCACCTGTACCTGGAGCAGGAGACTCACTAGCACCCAGAGCAGCAGCCTCACCAGTAGCTAGAGCAGCAGGTCCTATACCTGGGTCAGGCGGGACGCACAGGTGACCTGCACGGTCAGCACTAGTAGGCAATGCATACATGGCAGTGAGAATAGCATCATAGTCAAGAGCATATATATCTACCCTCTGCCTAAGCAACTCCACCCAGTCGGGAAGCTCAGCCTCGTCGCCAAACACGGTACGCCAGGCGTCGCTCAGACGGGCGAAGCAGCGGGACGGTGTATGACTACGTGTCCCACAAGGCTGACCAGTCCGAGTACCAGTGCGAATCACGTAAGAGCAGCGAACAGCACTAAGAGACCCTCCACTCTGAGCGTACCACTCACGAAGCTGGCGAGGCGTGAGAGACACGCGAGAGGGTCGCGGGAGCTGCATCTGGCCGTCACCACGAGTAGAAGCAGCAGGAGTGGTAGTAGGAGTAGCGTCGCCACCCCTACAGCCCCAACCAGCGTACCACTCACGCAGCTGCTGCGGCGTGAGGGACTCACGCCGGCGTCGCTGGGGCTGCATTTGGCTCCGCAAGTAGAAGCAGGAGCAGGACTAGCAGCAGGGAGGCAGGCAGCCAGGCAAGCCAAAAGGCAGGCAGGCAGGCAAGCAGGCGACGCGCAGCGTGCTAGCAGGGCAAGAGCTCACCAGTGGTGGGAAGAGTAGGTTCAGCGACTCAGCGGCTCGGCAGCTCGGCGGCTCGGCGGCTCGGGCGACTCGGGCGGCTCGGCGGCAAGGCGGCTCAGCAGCAACTGCAGCTCAGTAGCTCGGTGACTCGGCGGCTCGGCGGCAGGGCGGCTCGGCAGCAACTGCAGCTCAGCAACTCAGCGACCCGGCGGCTCGGCGGTGGGGCGGCTCGGCTGCTGCAGTGGGAGATGAAGGAGGAGGAGAAGCAGGGGAGGCCACACACCTGCCACCGCAAGCGGCCCCCTCAGGTCGCCTCGACAGGCGACGGGAAAAGGGGGGGGTGGGTGGTGGGGGGCCGGTAGGTGCAGCGGCGGGGCCAGCAGGTGCAGTTGCGGGGCCGGTAGAAGGGGACGGCAGGAGCCGTCAGGAGGGGACGGCGGGCCGTCAGGAAGGGACGGCGGGGCCGTCACGAAGGGACGGCGGGGGCCGTCAGGAGGTGACCGGGCCGCGACGGGGGCAGGCGGCGGGGCCGCGTAAGGGCCTGGGCGGGGCCGCGACAGAGCCGTCGGCGGGGCCGCGTGAAAGCCGGGCGGGGCCCGCGTAGAAGCCGGGGCGGGGCCGCGCAAGAGCAGGCGGCGGGGCCGGCGAAGGAGCCGAGGCGGGGCCGCGTGAGAGCAGGCGGCGGAGCCGCGTAAGGGCCTGGGCGGGGCCGCGACAAAGCCGTCGGCGGGGCCGCGTGAAAGCCGGGGCGGGGCCGCGTAGAAGCCGGGGCGGGGCCGCGCGAAGCCGGGGCGGGGCCGCGTAGAAGCCGGGGCGGGGCCGCGTAGAAGACGGGGCGGGGCGCGTAGAAGCCGGGGCGGGGCCGCGTAGAAGCCGG